TTGAAAGATGCTAGAGATAAATAATATATTAACATCAGTTTGATATCACATTTCTTATCTGAAATCATGGATGCCAGAGGGAAGTGGCATACATATTTCAAGTGTTAAAAGAACTGTCAACCATGAATTCTATGGCAAAACTATCCTTTGAGAGTAAAAATAAAGACATTACCAAGTAAAAAATAAACAAAAATAATTTGTTGCTAGCAGATCTTTCCTTAAAGATTGGCTAAAGGAAATTCTTCAACCCTAATGAAATGATAAAAGAAAAAGTCTTAGAGCACCAGGAAGGAAGAAAGAATGATGGAAAGAGCATAAATACATGTACGTATAGTAGGTGATCATTTTCCTCGTGATTTTTATAAATCATATTTGATGATTGAAACAAAAACTGTAGTATCATGTGATACTCAACAATATATAATTTATTTTTAAAAATTTTTTTAAAAGATTTTATTTATTTTTAGAGAAGGAAGGAAGGGAGATAGATAGATAGAGAAACATCAATGTGCGGTTGCTGGGGTCATGGCCGGCAACCCAGGCATGTACCCTGACTGGGAATCGAACCTGTGACACTTTGGTTTGCAGCCCACGCTCAACAGTATATAATTTAAAAGAGTGAAAGTTGATGGTAGGTATCCACATTTTACCTCAAATGGCAAAATGTTGACATCAGTAAACTGTGGTAAGTCATGTATGCATATTGCAATACCCAGAGCAATCACTGCAAAAATTATCCAAAGAGTTAGTCAAAACACAATATGAATTAAAACGGAGTTCCAAAAATGTTTAAGTAACCTGAAGGAAGTCAAGAAAAGAAGAACAGGAATGACAGTCAGAGGAAACAAGAGGGGCATTTTATAATGATAAAAGGATCTATCTACACTGAGTATACACTAAACATCATAGACTCAAATAAAGCAAAAATAAACGTAGCTGAATGGAGAAATTAAAAATATCCACATTTATGGTTGGGGACTGCAGTCTTCTCTCAGAAAACTACTAGAACTATTAGACTGCAAATCAGCAAGGAAATAGAAAATCTGAACAATACAACTTATAGGATCTAATTGATGTATATTTAACATATCACCCAACAACAGCAGAATATATATTTTTCAAGCACTTCTGGAAGAGTCACCAAGATAAATTATAACCTTGGCCATAGAACAAACTTCAGTGGATTTACAAGAACTGAAATCATGTAGTGTGTTCTCCCACCATAATGGAATCAAATTTGAAATCAATAATAGAAACAAAAGGAAACTTGGTAAATTTGTGGAAATAAATTAACACATTCTTGAATAAGTCTGTCTTTGAGGAAGTCTCAAAGAAAATGAAAAAATACATAGAACTGAATGCTAATAAAAATAAACTATTTGTGGAATGCAGCTCAAGTAGTACTCAGAGGGAAATTTATAGCAATAAATATATTAGAAATGAGGAAAGATCTCAAATCAGAAATTAATGAAATCTAAATAAATGTTCATGGATTAAAAGATTCACCATAGTAAAATGCCAGTTTCCCGAAGTTTGGTTGTAAGTTTCATGCAGATCCCATTAAAATCCCAGTAAAGTTTTTGTAGTGACAAATAAGCTTGTTCTAAAATTTATAAGAAAAGGCACCTAAAATATCTTAAACAGTGTTGACAGAATAATAAAATGGGAGGAGTTATCCACACTCATACTTTAGCTTATTCTCACTTCGCTCATCAAAACTGTGTGGTGTTGGTGGATAGACATGTAAATCAATACAACAGAATGGAGATTTCAGAAATAAACCCACAAATAAGTTTAACTGATTCTTTATAAAGTCAAAAGTAGTTCCTTAGAGGAAGGATAACCTTTCCAGCAAATGGTGCTGGGGCATTTAGATATCCTTAGGCAAAACAAGCAAATAAATTAACAACAACAATAAACTACACCAGAAGTACACATGCAAAAAAAAAAAAGGCATCTTAAACTTCACACCTCTTGTAAAAATTAACTCAAAATGAATAGTGAGTTTAAATCTAAAGCATCAAAGTATAAAACTTAGATAAAAACCAGTTTTTTAAAGAAAAACATGCCATCCCTCTTTTTAATGTCTCCATCCCTTTATCCTTTTTAGCCCTTCATTACTCAGTTTGGACATCCCCTCTGGGAAGTTCTCATTGGTCCTGCAAATCGGGCTGGATTGGTCATCTGTCCCATGGGTGCAGTAATACCACAATGGAAAATTGTTTTTCCTTTGCTTGCTCAACATCTGAGTCTGTTCATGTGCAGGAAATTCCCTATAAAATGGGCTTTGTTTGGAACCACCCTCCACTGCCTTCCTCAGAAACCAAGGAGGGCTGATACTGCTTCTTGCTACCACACCTTGACAACCTGGGTGTCATCTAGGATAGTTGTTCTCTTCAGCCCAAGACTTTGAGTTGGGAGTGAGCAATGGGAAGGGCCTGCGACATGAAAGACTTATTCTTGTGCTTTTGGCAGCAGCTTTTCTTTTTTTTTTTTTGGGGGGGGGTGCTGGTGACTAACCAGAGAGTGGTGGTGTCTATAGTAGATGGATTTTGAGGGATTTGAGTGGTGATCCTGTGGTCAGTCTTCCTTCACTCCTTCCTTTCTAAAGATTGTATGAGCTATGAGATCCTTTCAACAAATTCCTTTTTTGACTAGCTAGAGCCAGTTGCTTTTGCTTGAAAACAAGTCTCGATAGATTCAATCATCCTATCATGGTATTAGCCTTTTGCCCACTTACTTGCCATTTTCTCACACAAGATCCTGAGTACGGGCTTTGTCTTACTCATCATGTACACAACATACTTGGGTCTATTAAATTCTCAGTAAATGATGAAAATGTGCATGTCTTCCATTCTGTTTCTCCATTGGCATGATAGTGGAAATTACCCTGTGTTTAACATTTGGTGGGCTTTTAATTTTGCAGTGCTATTTATAAGGTTTGAATGTTTTCTTTACCTTCTTGAATATTTTATTGGAAATCCTGAAGAGTTTGTAAGCACCACTATCCTGAACAATATTTTTCTTCCTTCACTCCTTTTTTCCCCCTTAAGAATATTTGACCTTGAACAACATGGGGGTTAGGTGCCCTGACCCTGACAAGTGGAAGCCTGCATATAACATTTGACTCCTCCAAACTTAACTGGACACCTTACCAGTTACACAAATAGCTGATTAACACATATTTTATATGTTATTTGTATTATATACTGTATGCTCACAATACAGTGAACTAGAGAAAAGAAAATGTTATTAAGAAAGCCATAAAGAAGAGAAAATACATGGACAGTATTTATTGAAAAAAAGTCTTATCTGAGTGGACCTGCACATTTCAAACCTGTTTTGTTCAAGGGTCAGCTGTACTAAGTGATAAGGATGGGGAACTCCTTTTATCAGGACAAAAAGTGAGACTTTCTAATCATTTGATGTAATAATCAAGCTGGTTGATTTTATGTATAATTTTCTTTCATTGTGGACAGTGTTATAATATTAGTACACTGATGTGTAATGTACACACATACACATATAGATATGTATAAAGGCTGCCTAATTGTGTCTCCTTGTTTGTTGCTGTTTTTAAATCCATCATGTTTCAGTTACTTAGGCTTAAAGTCTCACTTATCTTTCCCCTCTTGTGGGGAAGGCCACTGTCTACAAGTACCTTTTTAGTACCCTTTCCCTCTCCTCCATTGGTATTATGAGCCAAGTCTTGATGAATTCTCTTGCATGACTTCCTCACAAGTTTCCCTTTTACTGAAATGAAGCCAACCTTAACCAGAGCTTTTGGACACATGTTTCTTATTATACCTTATAAAGCTTGATGCTATCTTGTGACTCCACCCCTAATTATATGCAGTATTTTTTCAAACTACCTATTCTTCCTGTTGTAGTTTTACCACTCACATATTACATAATAGGGTTTGTTTTTTTTTAAATAATCTGCTTCTTATATCCATGTGGTTTATCTCTTCAACAGTCTCATTATGTTCAAATTCCACTGTTGACATGGAATGTACTTCAGGATGCATTCCCTGTTCACCCTCCCTCATTCAAACCAGGGATATTCTGTCATGTGATGGATACCCACATTTTCTGGAGACTGTGTGATCTACCCCTTGGCATTATGTATTGTTATTATTTGAGACAATTGGATGGATTTCAAAATGAAAGTATCAGTGGTCCTTCCTGTAGAGCTTTCAGAGTTAATGAATTTTAGGTATTTATTTGGTTTTAGAATCATTATCAAAACATTATATGGTGTGGGGGAACCCCAAAACCCCCAAATTTATTTATAAAAATTGTATATTTATTCTTACATGTTTGAATTTCAGTCACCTTCAAAGTCCTCTCCATGTGATGCAATACACCTATCGAGACATTTTTCCACTGCTCAAAAGTTTTTGAACATGTTCATTTTGATGCCTTTTAGTGCTTTTGCCATTTTTTGTTTCACCTCTTTCCACACTGGCAAAATGTTTCCTCTTTAGGACTTTTTTCTCCTGAGGAAACAAACAAACAAAAAGTCGTCTGTTGAAGTGAGATTGGGTGAATAGGGAAGGTGGCACATAATGGGCATGGGGGGTCATGTTATTTTTGGTGAAAATAGACTGAACACTCAGTTCGGTGTGAGCAGGCGCACTCATAAATCATCCATCATGAAATAGACAAATGCACTGAAAGGATTTCCAAGAACAATTCACTGAAGCCCCAAACAGCCTCTCAAAACAAGCCAGCTTGTGCACTGATACAGATAAGTTCCTAGAACACCTCACCTTGTGGGGAAAGCTGTACTCCAAGGGCTGGCCCTCCAGAGGATAATTCCACTTTTTGGGGGGTCCCCCCCTAAAATGCTATAGTGTTAATTTTCTACATTGTGCAGCTACCCGTAGGTGTATTTATGGTTATAAAACATGTTTGTTTTTTCTTTTTAAATAATGCCTTGGTGTTTTGTTTCTATGCTTTGAGGGTTTTATTTAAATTATCATTTGTTTTTCACTCAGTCAATGCTCCGAGGGAGAGGAGGTTGCTATAAACATACATTCTATGGCATCGAAAGCCATCGTTGCATGGAAACCACCCCGAGCTTAGCATGTGCAAATAAATGTGTCTTCTGTTGGCGGTGAGTAAAAATTAATGGCCATGGTGATCAAATATGTAATGATCTGTGATAATCAGTCTGCCTCACACTGCACTCAAATATACCTAAGCTTTGATGTTTCTATAATTATTTCCTTTCCTAATATTATGTATTTATGCATTTGGTTGTTTTCATGACCTGTTTTATCAGAGACTTTTCAAGAGTCAGTCTTTTTGAATCACTTGATTTTAGCTTTGTGAATCCTCCTCATTGTATTTTTATTTCCTTGTTCACTATCTACTACTATTTTTGTTTATCTGTTCTTTTTCTAACTTAAATTGGACCATTAACTCATTAATATTCAATCTTCTATGTCTTTAACTGTAAATTTCTAAGTATTTCTTCAGCTACATTCCATAAATTTTGATTAGTTAATTATTCAATTGTAAATATTTTCTAATTTCCATTATGACTTCTTTTTAACTCATGGGTCAAAGAAATATTTATTTAAAAAATTACAGCCTTGGCCAGTGTGGCTCAGTTGGTTGGAGCATTGTTCCATAATTGAAAGGTTACAGGTTTGAATCCTGGTGAGGGCATATAACCGGGGTTGTAGGTTTGACCTGGTCCCACTGTGCAGCCTCTGTCTGGGTGCATGCGGAGGCAACCAATCGATGCTTCTTTCTTGCATAGGTGTTTCTGTCCCCTCCTCTCTCTCTAAAAAAGCAAGTGTAAATAAATGTCTTCAGGTGAGGATTTAAAAAACAAATTACACCTAAGTTAGATTTTAGGGGTTATGTTTTGTTATTAACTTTCAACAAAATTGTATTATTGTTACACGGTTTGTACATGATTTAATCTAATCTAGATTATTTAACTTATAATTTTTTAAAAAATTATGTTTTGTTACATGCTGTTACAGTTATCCCAATTTTTTTCCCTTGGCCTCCCTCAACTCAGCACCCCCCACTCCCTCAGGCAATCCGTCCACCATTCTTCATGTCCATGGGTCATGCATGTAAGTTCTTTAGCAACTTCATTTCCTGTGCTGTACTTTACATCCTCATGGCTATTTTGTAACTACACATTTGTACTTCTTAATCCCTCACCTCTTCACCCATTCCCCCACAACACCCTCCCATCTAAAAAGCATCAAAGTGCTCTCCATGATGGAATTCTTAGGATTATTACTGAAGTGGAATCGCTGGGTTTTGACAGTTTCAGGTTTAACTTTTTAAGGAAATACATGACTGTGCTTTCTCCATGGACTTCATGAAAACGGGTCATTCAGTCTGCATTTTAATGTCTGTTTTTTCCTCAATAAAAGGTTTTTGAGGTTCATCTGTATCTTTAGGTATATCATTAGTTTGTTCCTTTCTGTTATATGGCTTTACCACCATTTGCTTATCTATGCACTTCTAGTTAAATATTTGAGTTGTTTCCAGGTTTTAACTGGATTATGAATAAATTAGTATATAAATCTTCTGCAGACAAGTATTTTAATTTCTCTTGGGTTAAAACCTGTGTATAGAATTGTTGGATTTTTAAAAGTCCATTTGGACAATCTGTCTTTTAACTGGTTTTGTTTTTTGTTTTTTTTTTAATATATTTTATTGATTATGCTATTACAGTTGTCCCATATTCCCCCCTACCCTTATTCCCCTCTGCCCTGCACCACCCCTTCCACCCACATTCCCCCACTTTAGTTCATGTCCATGGGTCATACATATAAGTTTTTTGGCTTCCCCATTTCCCATACTCTTCTTAACCTCCCCCTGTCTATTTTGTACCTACCATTTATGCTTCTTATTCCCTGTATCTTTTCCCCCATTCTCCTTCCTCCCTGTCTCCACTGATAACCCTCAATGTGATCTCCATTTCTGTGAATCTCTTCCTGTTCTAATTGTTTGCTTTGTTTGTTTTTGTTTTTGATTTTTTTAGGTTCAGTTGTTGACAGTTGTGAGTTTGTTGTCATTTTACTGTTCAGAGTTTTGATCATCTTTTTCTTAGATAAGTCCCTTTAACATTTCCTATAATAAGGGCTGGGTGATGATGAACTCCTTTAACTTGACCTTATCTGAGAAGCACTTTATGTGCCCTTCCCTTCTAAAAGATAGCTTTGCTGGATAGAGTAATCTTGGATGTAGGTCCTTGTCTCCTTTCCTCTTGCTGCTTTTAACAGTCTCTCCTTCTCTTTAATCCTGGGTAATGTAATTATGATGTGCCTTGGTGTGTGTTTCCTTGGGTCCAACTTCTTTGGGATTCTCTGAGCTTCCTGGACTCCCTGGAAGTCTATTTCCTTTGCCAGATTGGGGAAGTTATCCTTCATTATGTTTTTAAATAAGTTTTCAATTTCTTGTTCTACCTATTCTTCTTCTGGCACCCCTATGATTCAGATGTTGGAACATTTAAAGTTGTCCCAGAGGTTCCTAAGCCTCCCCTCATTTTTTTGAATTCTTGTTTCTTCATTCTGTTTTGGTTGAATGTTTATTTCTTCCTTCTGGTCCAAACCATTGATTTGAGTCCTGGTTTACTTCCCTCACTGCTGGTTCCCTGTACATTTCTCTTCATTTCACTTTGCATAGCCTTCACTTTTACCCTTATTTTGTGACCATACTCAACCAATTCTGTGAGCATCCTGATTACCAGTGTTTGGAACTCTGCATCTGTTATCCTGGCCATCTTGTCATTACTTAGTTCTGTTTTTAGAGCATTGATCTGTTCTTTCATTAGAGCCTTTTTTTTTTTTTTGGTCTTGAGGCAGGTGTTGTGATGTAAGGGGCGGAGCCTTAGGTATTTACCAGGGTGGGGCAACCCATTTCACTGTGTTGCAGTGCTGTATGTAGGTGGGGGGTCCAAAAGGAAACAATGCCACTTGCTCAGCTTTCATTCTGCTTTCATTCACTTCCCCTACTACCCAAAGCAAACTGGGCCCTTCTGGTGCTGATTCCTGGGTGGGTGGATTTGTGTACATTTTAGGACCCTGTGGATCTCTCCAGTGAACTCTCCTGTGAGGCTGAGAGTTTCTCCTGCTGCTGCAACCTCCACAGGTTTTTACCACCAGAGGTTTTGAGTGTTTAGTTTCTTGTGCTGGAACCCTGGGTTGTGTGGTCTGACTCGCTCCCCAGTTCTTCCTTCTGGCTTCTCTGCACGTGAACATGGGACCACCTGATCCTCCAGCTGCCGCCTTGCTGAGCCTCCTCTCTGCCCCATCTGCCGGTCTCCACCCTCCTACTGGTTTGAATGAATGTTTCTTCTTTAACTCCTTCTTTGTTGGACTTCCATACAGTTCGCTTTTCTGGCAGTTCTGGTTTGTTTTTAAATTGGTTGCTGTACTTCTTTTGGTTGTGGGAGGAGACAAAGTATGTCTAGCTATACCTTCATCATGGCTGGAAGTCCCTTAACTGCTTTTGTTTAATTGGTCAGACTTACAGTGATTGTTGGTACTGAAAAATTATTGATAAATGTTTTTTATTCTTGTATTTGTACCTTCTCTTTATTTGCTTTTCTACATTTTTGTCCTTTTTTTAGCATTATTTTTTAATATATTTTATTGATTATGCTATTACAGTTGTCCCATTTCCCCCCTTCACTCCCCTGCACCCTGTACACCTCCTCCCACCCACATTCCCCCCTTTAGTTCATGTCCACATGTCATACTTATAAGTTCTTTGGCTTCTACATTTCCCATACTGTTCTTACCCTCCCCCTGTCTATTTTCTACCTACCATCTATGCTATTTATTCTCCGTATCTTTTCCCCTCTCTCCCCCTCCCACTCCCCTGTTGATAGCCCTCCATGTGATCTCCCTTTCTGTGGTTCTGTTTCTGTTGTAGTTGTTTGCTTAGTTTGTTTTTGTTTTTGTTTTAGGTGTGGTTGTTAATAATTGTGAGTTTGCTGTCCTTTTACTGTACATATTTTTTATCTTCTTTTTCTTAGATAAGTCCCTTTAACATTTCATAAAATAAGGGCTTGGTGATGATGAACTTTAACTTGACCTTGTTTGAGAAGCCCTTTATCTGCTCTTCAATTGTAAATGAAAGCTTTGCTGGATAGAGTAATCTGGGATGTAGGTCCTTGGCTTTCATGACTTGGAATACTTCTTTCCAGTCCCTTCTTGCCTGTAAGGTCTCTTTTGAGAAATCAGCTGACAGACTGTTGGGCACTCCTTTGTAGGTAACTCTCTTCTTTTGTCTTGCTGATTTGTCTTGCTTCTTTCTGATTACAGAAGAGACTCCAGGCTTATCTTGTGTTTTCTCTATGGATCTATAGTTTCTTTTATTGGGGAATGGTATTTAGAATCCAAAATTTGGATGTTTGGTGTTCTCATTTCTGTGGGGTTGTTAGTGCTTCTTGGCCCTCTCAGCAGATAGAAGTAGGAAATACATGTATATGTGTGTCTCTATTTGTGTATATTAAAATACAAAACCGCAAAATCATGAGTTTTCATTGCTCCCTCCAACTCTAGTTAGCAGCATTGAGCTCATTCTAGAATTTTCTTTTTGTTTATTTATAATTTTTTTCTGTGACATTGGAAAACCTGGCCTGGCTTTTCTTACTATAACATATTAATTTCAACCCTAGTATGTGCATATGAAGGACTTTCAGAATTGCTAGCTGACACCTTTGTTAGAAACAGATTTGTGTTTCCTATGATGTCTGTCTGGCTTTGGTATCAGGGTACACCACTGATCTCGTAGAATAAGTTAGGATGTGTTCCTTCATGTTTTGGAAGAGTTTGAAAAGGATTGTATTAACTCTTTTTTTTTTAATATATTTTATTGATTATGCTATTATAGTTGTCCCATTTTCCCCCCTTCACTCCCCTCCACCCTGTACACCCTCTCCCACCCATATCCCCTCCTTAGGTTATGTCCATGTGTCATACTTATAAGTTCTTTAGCTGTTACATTTCCCATACTATTCTTACCCTCCCCCTATCTATTTTCAACCTATAATCTATGCTACTTTTTCTCTGTACCTTTTCCCCCTCTCTCCTCCTCCCACTTCCCTGTTGCTAACCCTCCATGTGATCTCCATTT